TAATATGAGAAATGCTAATATCAAATTAATTATTAGGAAATGAAAAATAAAAAGCATGAAGAATGCAGAAAATGTGGTAGAAAGTATAAAAAAAAGAATAGGCAATGGTTCACTCAGTATTGACGAGAGTGTTTATTTACATATTAGTCCAAAACAAAGCTTGCATCCAACCTTCCTGCTTCCAGTCAACAAGCTCCTCACTTCCGGCCCCTGTGACATTACACTTGTTGGCACGATCTATAAATACACAAATCCCTATGGTTTAAATACTATTCATATTACAAGTTGAATTTCCTTATATGTGCAAAAGTGTTACAGACATGACTTTCCAGATACAAAATTATTTTAGTAATTGTACGCAGAATCAATTATATATTAGGGTTTTCTGCCACCAAGTGGTAATAATGCTTCCTTGCACCATTGGAGTTTACTCTTCCCGTACTATTTCTCTGTATTACTCCATTTTTAACAAGTAATTGCTGAATTTCTATGATGCATTAGAAACCGACTAGAAGTTTTTTGCTGGAAAAATGTTACATTTTCATCTAAAACTTTCAGACTTAGAGCAGAACTAGTCTCATAAAAATGCTCTAAATGAACTTACAGCTATTTAGTTATATGCCATTTAACTATACCAGTGGTTCCCAACCAGGAGTGAATTTGCCCCCATCTCTACCAAGGTGCATTGATAACACCTGGAAACAGTTTTAGTTGTCATGACGGTGGGTGGAGAGCTGTTACCAGCATCTAGTGGTTAGAAGCCAGGGATGCTGCTAAGCATTTTATAATGCAGAGGACACCCCCACCACCAAAGAATTATCCAGCCCAAAATGTCAATAGTGAGTTAATGAATAGATGGTAAATAAATCAAAGGCATGATCCACAAATATTTCCTTTGTCCAATTTCTCTGCTTATGAGGCCGTCTTCATCTCCATGCTTTATCATAACGGGTTGAGTGTGAGCTTAAACCAGGTCCTCACATTTCATGATATCCTTAAAGTATAAATCATAGTTTGAAATCCAGAGTTCCCATTCTATTATTTAAAATGTTAGATTGAAGTTTTCACTCATTTCACGAAGTCATAAATTAGTAGGGCTCAAAGTTGAGTAGTGCTCAACTAGTCCATTCCCTTCATTGTCAGAAAAGATTATGCAAAGTTTAAACATCTTAATAATCTGCTAGCTTGTGGCAGAGCCAGATGGTAATTAGTTTTCAGGTTTTCTTCAAGTGCTCTTTTTGAGCACCCAAGCTGTCTCTCTTTGATTAATTTGGTGAATTACATAATTTTATCCTAATGATTTTTAAAGTCGATATAAGAAAAAAATATAGGGACACTTTGCTGACATTTTTAGAGGAAGTGAAAAGAAAAGGGAAATAGCTGCATGAAAAATGATGCTATCTAAATAATATTTTCATATTTATATATTGTATTTTATGGATCTTCATAGCCTTGCCATGTTTTTCCTGTCATTATAACTCAGCTAGATCATAATCGTTTATGTTTTTCATTGAATATTCAGAGCCTAGCACAGCACCTTACATATAGAGGACCCTTAATACATACTTGTTCAATGGATGAATGTGTGCATAGTTATTTTAATTTAGCATGTGGCCATTTAAAGCATCAAAGCATTGAAGTTAAGGTGGGGATTTTAATTTAGTCTCATTCAGTTTTACTTACAGCAACTTAGATGTCACTGGGAAATAGAAATCATGGGTATCTTTGAAGACAGTCTTGAAGTTTCTCTTCCCCTAGAAGACAGTTGTACATCATAAACATGCAAATTTGGAGCCGCTCTGTTTTACTCAGGTTATTCTACTTATTTTTTTGTAAAACCAGTTTTTCCCATCAGAAAATGTATTAAAAAGTTTTAAAATTATCTCTTAGCATGTTAATATAGCATGCCATCACCTTTATCTCAGATTGCCTTAATTCTTTATTTACCTGGTCGGGCAAATGTATTATTTGAAAAGTGCTACCAAAATGAGATATTATATGGTACCTAAAATTTAAATAGAATAATTAGTGCTTTCTTGGCGCCTAAATTATGTCTCACAATGAAGTCTTACCCTGGTGTTTCTTAGGAGCCACAGAAGACCCTACTGCAGGTGTGGCTGTTTTAGTTAATCAGGCTGGATTGTTAATCCCTCATCAATGGACTTCTGAGATCACCACCATTATTTCCCTGACTCATTTGCCTCTTCCTCTACCACAGGTGTATCTGTGGGAAGGTTAAAGCACAACTCTCATGACAACATGATTGACAGTCACAAAGTCTAAGAAACTCCTCAGACAACCTCAAATAGTCAATGAGAAACTGAACACACCTAGAGTGCCACTGATTTGTCTTGGTAGACAAAATATTAAGCAAGTAAAGTTAAATGGTACTACATCTATAGATAAGATAATTTGTATATGTGATACTTCATTAATTCATACATATAACTAATTAATAATCTCATCATATTATTTAAAAGCAAAATTAAATAAGAATCAATTTCTAATTCTTTTCAAATTACAGCTTGGGCACAATAAACAATCAAGTATAAGGAGCTCAGAAGATTTTCATTTAAATACTTTTAATAATCCTCCAAGACAATATCAGGTA